TGCGCTGCCTAAATCCCTCCGAGACATATCAAAGAACTTACCCTCTCACCCACCCCCCTTAAGATGCCCCGGGGTGTTAGCTCGCACGCAATCTACCCTGTCAGGCTGACTTGCGATCCACTCAGCCGTAGGGCATTCGCTTTGTCTGAGTCTTAGGGCCAACCCTTGTTTTAACTGGGGTTTGCTTTAGCGTCGTTTAGGTAGTAAATGGCGTGCTTGATAATCACGTTGACCACCTGCGCAAGCCCCGTGGACTCGGAGATGCAGGGCAACGCATGACTCTTTCGCTTTGACCGACTTTGGGAACTGTTCAACTTCGGCGTACTGGCTCTGTTTTTGTGGGCTCGAAATTCTCCGGATTCAGGCTAATTGTGCGTAGCGTATCTATTTTAGGTGTGCTTATCAAGAGAGCATTTATTGTGCCTCATTTCGATAAGTCGTGTAGAATTTAACAGGTGATCACCCAATTTATTTACCCCCCGCCCTTCGCAACGCTGATACGTTGAATTCGCCAATAAGCACATTCTCACTGCGCGGGATGGCGTCGAAACTAGTATATGAAGCAGCGCCACCTCGTCGGCATTCTAGATCTGACCGAAGATACAGATGTAATGCCACATCGAAGGTCATCCGGCGTTGGTCCTTTCGGAGGAATTGCGCGAGGTCAGGGCAAAGCAGCGAGCTCAAGCGGCAATAGTACAGAGATAGCGCCTCGCCATGTGCTTGGTAGTGGGAAAGGTCTAGTTGGCTAGCCGGATAGTTGGCGACTCCGACGGACAGTCAATATCTCCGTTCTTGGGTTTGATTGTCTGATTGCTTAGGCTTGCTGTGATGTGTAGTGCTCCTCGGGGCTCGGAATGATGCGATCGCCGAGCTCCGCATATAATCCGAGCCCTGGTGATAACACACCTTTGGGGGATTTCCGGTGTCTATGAGTCCGAAGACTACCATTTGGTTGTCTCCCAAGATGGGGGCTGCTTGGTTGTCTTTGCGTTACTAGCTTCTTAGGCGCAGGCTTTGCTCCCCGGTCCGAGGGTTTGAGAGATATCGGTGCTGGTGATACTAACGGTGCCACTCGATATGTTGCTTTTGCAGGACAAGGCGTAATTCATGTCATTTGGTGAATCCTCCCGCCCAAATTTGTATGGAGCTTCATTAGTCTGCACACCAAAGTTGTCCTGGAGACTGAGAGATTGAAGTTTGGTAGCGGTCTGGCCAGCAGACACATTTTCGACGTCCTTTGATTTCTTCAACGCACAGTTGACTTTTTCGACGACACGTATGTCTGTGCCATTTTCAGTGGTATACATGCCGGTCTTCACTGCAGAGAATGGTAACCCGGAGGGTGTATTTTCTGATACACAGCACACCATCAAGACAGAGATTGCTGTTGGTACCACCTTGAAGCTTTTCTCGAGGAAGTGCAAAACCATCTGGGGGCAGACAAGTGTAAGAGTACCCTAAGCAGAGATAAACCGCCATTTCGACCTCTCCAGGGCTCTCCCGAATAAGTTATCTTACCACCATCGACCAGATAATCTGAAGCGCACAGTAGGAAGTTTGATTTTGTGGCGGAATATCTTATTCTAGAGAGCAACGTCGATGCGACAAACCTGTTGAAAACATTGCACTCAACCAATACAGTTCAGCAGGTTGCCGAAGCCATAGTTCCACGCGGGTTGTCAGAAGAGCAATCAGAGAAAACATAAAACGTAGTGTGTAGCCCGGCCAGTTCGTGCCGTAGTAGTTTGCGGTATACGATTGGCCGTGTAACACAACTGGGCTGACACCTCCCGCGACGGCACGATCGACCGAAAATGGTACCTCGGGGAGAAGTCGCATGACTTGACTCCAACATCACGGTGTCCACCAGGAGATGACTTGTCCTCAGGCAAGATTTGCTAGCCCGGAGAATCGACGGTGGCCCTTCAGAAGAGCGCCTCGATCGGGGGTGAGGGCGTGGAGTTGAGCTTGACACAGACGATAGAATCATATATTCCAAATAATGTATAAGATTGAAGACGCTGTTGCCAATGCAAATACAAATAGCAGGAGCAAGACCTCACGAAGGCCAAGTATTAGCTCCCCCAAAGCCGCCGGGCAAGATGACTAGGTCTATTACGGAAAGAGTACGACTGCCCAGCAACATACACACCATTCGGCCCAACCCAATCCGGATCGGAGAAGGGCGCCGAGTAAAGCCAGTTAGCAACATAAGCATGATATTACCGATGCAGTGCACGCGCAGCGCCATCGAGCGGAGTTGGGTAGAATTAGCAGTGGTGCTGTAGGTGTAGGCTAGAATGAGTATGTTGTCGTTCTCTTCAGGAAGTATTTCTTCGCCGAGCAAAGGTGGCCTATGGCATTGAGGTAGCGTGCGCCGATCTCGTGCACGGTGTACTTCTTGGTGTCGGTGCCGCTGCCTGTGTACTTGAGGACGGGGCCGAGGAGCAGTTTGGTATAACCAGGGGTTCATAAATGGGGAAGCTTGCGAAAATAACATCCACAGTGTTAATGCCATCGCTGGATATCTCCTTGACAAAAGCACGGGTGTTGTTAGTGCCAAGCGATTCGTTTAGGATCGTTCCCTCGGGACTAGACCAGACTATCAAGAGTATTCTTCTTTCGCATTGGCGTAGTCATCCACAAAATGCGAGGTCGCATCCACTGTCTCAGCCTAAATGGCCCGCTAGTAGCCCATCTGGGCTGCCTCTGGTACTCGATCGACTCTCCGCGCACTTGCCCGACCGCAAAGGCTACTGTGGCTTGTCGATGCTTGTTCCGAGGTCATGCGCGTATCCAAGCACTCAAGTGAAAGACCTCTTAGCGTGTGAACCGGTCAGGTTGCCATTAGCCATGAAGCTCTAAGACACCGAGGTTGACGGGCCGGCAGGTGTGGGGAGGGAGCACCTATGTTGGAGTTGGGGGGGGCGGGTGGCGTAGACAGCCACCCCACAACGCTTGGCCATTTGCCATCAACACCTTTGATGCAGAAAACGCCCGTAGTGCCTTTCATGCAGTGGTTCCAGCTATATCGACCGCCTGACCCATCCAGCTAGGTTCGATATCGGGGTATATCTGAATTGGGCTTGAGTCGCCTGCAGCGAATGGCGCGGCGAGGTAGGAGAATGATAACGATTGACGCAGGTATATTTTGGGTAGGACCGGGGAGAAGAAATGGAGGGTGCATGTCCGCGACCTGGCTTCCCCGTGAAGTTGGAGTGGGATGAGATGCGGTGCTGGACAAGGTTGGTACCGCCCGTGGACTCAGGCGCGCCAAACAGATTACACGCGACACCATCCACGCGAGCAGTGAAGGACCAAATCAGATCATTGTCTGCTCAAAACTGGGCTCTGTTAGAGGCAAGTGAAGCGATGTCGATTGGCAGATGGATTCTGGGGATGATCAGGGAGCAGAGAGATATACGAAGTACATACAATATATACGGACTCCGCACCGCCAAAGGGTATGATAGGGGCTTAATTGGGGATCATGTGACAGCTTCACTAAAGATATAGTAAGGAGTTAACACTGCGAGGGTACCTCGAGTGTTGACAGTGGAAATAATGCGACATGTGCAGAATGCCATCTGGTTTCCGGGGAGTCCAGGGCACACGGGCAAATAACTCACATATCGCAATCCCTGTTCTCACTGAGATACCCCGGACTCTGGGGGAATTAATGATGTCTACATTATATTAATAGAATAATGTATGGCTTTAACATATACGGCTTAGCCCTATTCTATCTTTTTGATCTTCTAGTAATATTTCCGAAGATCGACCTGGTTGGGCTGACAGTATTTCAGCCCTACCTATGTAGGTATGCCCAGGTGTCGTACGGAGTAGATAAATATTAATTTCTGTATCACATATCACATCTGGTCAGTGATACCTCCAATCCTGATAAATCAGGGGTCCAGGGGTTACCAGACAACCGGGACCTGTCATCCTCATGGGAGCCTAAGCGCTGTAAGGGGTACATCAGGAGGTCCAGAAATAAGGGGCTTGGTAATCACTCCTGTTCTGGAGGGGAGTTTCGGGGTTAGAGCTATTGTCTATCTAGTACTTTTAAAAAGGTATAATTCTTATATTGTAGAGTTAATAGAGTTATATATGTAGTCCATACATATGTACTCCGTACAATTGAAAATCTAGTAGAACCTCTATATACCAGGACACCTAAGAATCGAGAATCGAGAATCAGAATCGAGAATTCCTCAATCATTTTATTTTCTAATTTTATCTACGTACAATATTGTGTAATGTAATCCGTAGTTCAGAAGGTGAAATTTTCATTCCGTTTGCGGGTGAAATGAACGAATGCGGACTTCTTGGGAGCTCAAATTTCATTTTATTCGTCAAGTCAAAACCCGACGGTCTGGGTCCAGGTTCCTGCAGACTTGTAACCTCTTTTGACTCCTTTTCTTTTCTTCTTCTTCTCTCTAATTAATTTTTCTCGGGTAAGTGATCTTCTGCGATCCGTGGAAGCCCCAGCCAATCTCCCGCACTTTGACAGCGTCATCGTGCGGTTGACCCAAGAAAAGTCTTCAACTTAAGAACGGAAGAAGATGCTAATACAGTATTCCTGAAAGTATTCACCACCCCAGAACTCTGATATCGCCACTGCGCTCCCCCGAGCTCATCTACGGTCCGCGAATAAAACTCTCCGACCCCTTCGCTTCACTTTTTCTGCCATATCGCATCGAATCCGATTCTCCAAGTCGTTTTGGAACTGATCGGCTTGGATCAGTTTCGATACATTCAAAGGGGCCTGCTCGGTTTGTCACTGTGCGCGTCCTTTCTCTATTTAGCCCCGAAGTCGATGCTCCAAGTGTGACGTCTGAACATCCCGCGGGGTCGCATGTCGCATCTCCGAACCCCCCACCTCTCTCCTCGAACAACCAGGTAGTTAAGATCTATCAAATAGGTCTATAAAAATCAGGAACCCGTCTTTTTATCTATCACCAGTCATCCTCGGTTCCTTACAATCCGGTACCATGTACGCCGTCGAGGATAGACATCATCCCGTCCCACCTCCACTCTCAATGGATCGCATCTCTGCTCCGTCCGTCCAGTACCCGCCGGGGACCAACTCGCTACGCCAATCCGACCATTTGGCACCTGTGACAAACTACCAAGACGGTCGCTCCTGGTCATTACAAGTAGTGCAGCAGCCCATCAGGGCTCGCATGTGTGGATTTGGTGACAAGGTGGGTGACGTTTCCGCAATTATTGTTTTGCCACTTCTTAACATCCCCAGGACCGGAGACCCATCACTCCCCCACCGTGCATTCGTCTCATTGTGCGCGACGAGCAAACCGATAAGGAAATCGATATCAAGTATGCCCAGCCAGTTGCTCTACGTCTCTATAACCCTCAGCTTTCTAACCATCTCTCCCTCTTTAGTGAGATCGATACATCGTTCTATGTGCTCACCGTCGACCTGTGGAATGCCGACGGTACCAGCGAAGTCAACCTCGTCAAGCATTCCGCCACCTCCCCTTCCATCTCTACCGCCATGTCCTCCTCATACCCTCCCCCGCCTCAGAGCGTCTCTCCGACCTACCCGGGCTACAACCAGAACCAGTACCCCGTGGGCTACCCTCCGCAGATGAACAACTACTACGGTGGTCAGCAAGTGGCGTACCAAAATCAATACGGCCAGCCAGTGACGTACCCACAATACTACTCCGGTGGTCAAATGCCAGCGTCTATGTCACCCGCCGCGCAACCTGTCACTGGTGGACCGGGTGGCATGTTCACTCGCAATCTCATCGGAAGTCTCAGCGCCAGTGCTTTCCGGTTGACAGACCCAGACAACAAAATCGGTGTGTGGTTTATCCTGCAAGATCTGAGCGTACGGACAGAAGGCACTTTCCGGTAAGTTCAATCAGATGATCGGAATCATTCGAAATAATCGCTAATGGAAATCTAGTCTGAAAATGAGCTTCGTTGATGTGGGCACGTCTGCCGAAACTTCCAACGGCGCCCCGGTCATCAATCACGGAACCGCACCTGTTCTAGCCTCGGTTTTCTCTGAACCTTTCCAGGTCTTCTCCGCCAAAAAGTTCCCCGGCGTTATTGAGAGCACCCAGCTCAGCAAATGCTTTGCATTACAGGGTATCAAGATCCCCATTCGCAAGGACGGGGTAAAGGGTCCCCGCCGAGGTGGAGATGGAGACGACGATGATGAAGGCGACTATTAAAGGAGTGATTCTTTGATCTATAGTGCACTACGCGATATGCGGGTGGGTTCACTTGGCTCAGGGTATTGTTTCGCCTTTCCTAATCTTTTTTGCCCTTGCTATGAATCAAGACGTGGGGGGGGAACGGCGGCGCGTGGCTTATGGTGTTCTGGGCAAGACTTAGGCTTGCAGTTTTCAATATTGCTACACGGACCGGTGCTGGGGGGTTTTCTGTCTGGTTTTTGTTTCATGGCTTCTGAATATTCTTTTTTTGCCTTATCCTTTTGTTGGCCTCTGGCTGTGTCTATTCATATCCTTCGCGGTCGATTGCCCGCACGTACATACACTTTTCTTTTCGGCGAACCGAGGTCCGGTTTGAATTGCTGAGTGCTGAGGCTGATTGCCTGGCTTAGAAAAAAGTCGTTTGATATCCAAATCCACTATTGTTCAGTTATCTGTCTGGATGGTGTGCTCTTAAGAAATTTTCACTGCTCAATATCCTAATATCAAAAGTATCTACTAACCAGCATTTAGAACCTACCGGGTATCCATATCAGACAATCCATTCAACCAAATGCCCAAAAATAGCACCCAAACTCAACCCAAGCATCGTCATCGTAACCTTCCATCTTAAACTGGTCCCCTACACGGCACACGATCGAGAAAGGATAGTACATGCCATCTCACACCCAGCATAGTACAACAAACCTCAACAAATCCCAACCACCATCGCCACACAACCCAGCTCATAGAAGACGTCACACCGTACCTGGCAGAAAGCCGAAAACGCCGGACCTGACAGAAAGCCGACAACGCCGGGTTGTCCAACACGAATCTCTCAACTTATACACTAACATGAACCTCAACGAACTCCCCACGTCGGACAATGTACAACACCCGTGGAACGGGCTGATCTCACCTCTCCGACTGATTCCAATCGCCCAACCGCGCCAGGAAATCTCGCCTTGGACAATCATCCAACTGGCTCTGTCCATCCTCGCCACATCCTGAAACAGGGCAGCACCGTCTTCTAGGCGGAAATTTCCATGCCAGTGCGATAGGGTAGCAGGTTGCTCTCTGCATCGCCGATATGGGTATCTGAAAGGCTCGAGATTAGACGAGGTCGCGGGTATGCGCGCTGCAGCATCGGCTGCAGGACATTATTATTCCATCGCAGCTAGAAACCACGGCGCAGTTGCAAAACCGGACTTCATCGGGGTCGTCGGCATTGCCACATTAGCCGGCACCGGCTGTAGTGGGATGCAGGGTCCGGTGAGACATTCCATATTGCTGCATGTTCGCCGGTTTAGATAGAGGTCAGTGGCGTTGGACGGTATGCGATTGTTCACTCGGAAACGACCTCGGGAGGTTCCCAGGTGGACTCGTTTTGGTAATGGATGCGTTCATGTCTCGGCCCGTTAGTGGGGCGAGGGCGTTCTCTGGGGAAAGTAGGAGGCGAGGTGTTAATTTGGGCGTGGGGGTTGGTGGTGTGGAAGTCCGACCTACACCGTGTGATAGAGGGCTTTGAGTAACAAAGTGGATATTTGCGGGTTAAGCCGGCGATTACCAAGATCTCTTTAGCATTAGAGTAGTGATGTGGTTGATGTTCCAATTATAAACTGAGACAAGCGCAGAGATCTTCATCCAAACCCCCCGAATCCTCCAAGGTCGAAAGATATGCCAATCCACTTGTAATCACCTTCAATCCACTATGTTATGTATGTATCAGCCACTCGGATTAGTGTAGAGGCCTTTCCCTCCTCTTGGCAGACGAACGGTTCTCCATGTCTCACGTCTCTTCCTCTAAGCGACGAAAACTAACATCCTCGGTAGTAACCTAACCTCACACCGTTGCATAAACTATGCAAAAGATAATTACATTCGGAATATGGAGTCTATAGAGTACAATGCTGTCTCAAACTCAGCCAATCCATCCATTCACCATCCAATGAGACCCTCGCCACCTCAGCCACCTAGCGGCCAAATCCGTCGATGACGGTCCCTTTGATCGAAGTTTTCCTTGGTTTTTCTCGGAACATGTGCAGCTTCTATTTATATTGCTCTTCCGATCGGTCTATATAAAGAGGGCCAGCAACCGCCTGTTGTTGGTCCTATTCAAACCAAACATCCCATTCAACTACACAAAACAGCCTTCAAACTTCAACATCCACCAGAACCACAATGAAGTTCACACTCACCTCCCTTGCCCTCCCCCTCCTCGCCGCCTCGGCACCAATTAGCGAGCCAACTACCAACCCAGCCTTCAGCGTGATGGCCATCCGCTCCGCGTCGCCCATCCACTACTTACAGCTGAACGCCGCCGGCCAGAAGTTCTACCTCGGCGGAAACACCGCCTCCTACTGCCCAACCCAGGTCAAAAACTGCCCACCTGGAAACCAAACCGTCTTTGCTCCTGGCGGCAGCTCTCTGGTAAGTCACAAGTCACACTATCCACCCCTCCCACCCTGCAAAGTACAAACCCGGCTCACAACGAACAGGACACCATGGTCCCCGGCGGCCAGCAGGTCTACATCGCTCCTACTGGCGCTCTCAGCTTCACCCAGGCTCACTCTGCCAATATCCCACAGGGGTCCTTGCTCGGCCCGTTCCACTACGCGGACGATGAACCCTGGGCCCACTACTCTTTCGCTGGCTGGGGTGCTACGGGTTTCATGGCTTGTCCGGCTGATGATAACCGCTGGCAGGTGTTTGCCGCTATTCAAAATGCTACTGTGCCTCAGGGTAATGTTGATGAGTGTCTTGGTTTCTCTGCTATCGCTTTGGATTATACCGGGGATGTTCCTGCTTGGCAGTATATCTAGATTAATGATGTGGTTGATGATCTGATGGCTTTCTGGACGATGTCCTTTTTTCTAGCTTGTTTTGATTTTTGGATGTATCATAATCACGCTCCTTCTACCCTTTGGATTTAATACAGATAATCTATATCATGTCTTTCGGGTTGTACATTGAATGGTAAATGTCTGGATGTACGTCGACACCTGTGGTACGGGCCGAGAAGCTTGAAGAACATCGGTATGATTAAAGTCTACAGTCAGACTCGAAATTAAGTCGAAGTCGAGATGCAGCGGTGACTGCAGAGGTTGTGGAAGAAGGGTAACACTTGTCTCACTTTAAGCTACCTAAAATAGTACAAAAGAGATATCACAAAAGAATAGGAGTGTATTCCGTGGGACCCGCCAATGGCTATGGAGCCCAAATGCTCAGCCACAACTTTATCGAGAGCTCGCACGAGAACTGCAGTTTGATCAGGGTGGGCACCAAGTATACGGCAGACCTCAACAATGGCAATGTTGACATCTCCGTAGATGTAGGCACCAGGTGCTACTGGACCTCCGCCTGCGCTGTCTCATTTGTGGGCTACGCGAGATGGTGGTCGAGAGGGCTGGGGAGAGGATGAAGGAAGAGGAAGAGAAGAGGAAGAAAGGTGGGAGGAGGCCTTTTATACCCCCCCAGACACGTAACAACCAACACACATAGCAACACCCGTACCTTCCAAAAACGGACACTTGCTCTTGCCCTACACAGCTACTCCAGGGCTCAGTCACAATCAACATTTTGTCTGCATAGGAGACCTTTAAGCTGGACAGTTCTGTCAATACGC